AAAAATTGATACGGAATAGTTGCTACCGCTTCTAAAAGTTGGTTTTTGTAAGTGCTACTATAAAATTTTCCCCACGCTTTAATCATTAGTTCAGGATTGGCTTCCTTTCAAGTTTTCAGTCTCCAACCATAAAAAAGCAATTCCTCATAAATTTTGGTAGCCTTTCTTTGGGGAATTGAATGTGTTGAAGAATAGCATGCTAAAGATTCTAAACAATCGGGTAAGTATTCCAAACCTGAATCAATATCGGTATTTAGAATTCTCAACTCTTTTAATTTAGTTAAGTTTTTTAAAGGTTCTAAAGAGCCAATAAAACGATTGCATTTGTTTTCTCACTTTAAGTTAGGATTCCCTACTTCCAACCTTTGTAAATGAATCAAATGTCTAAAACAAGTTAGATTTTGTTCAGGGAAATTATTGTCACTTATCTCTAAATAAGTTAATTTCTCAGGATTAGTAGGATAAATTATCTTGGTTAAATAATTATCATTACAGTAAAGTCCTTCTAAATGGATTAGATTACTACAATCAAGATTAATAAGTTTATTACAAGAACAATCTAATTCCTCTAAATTATTAAAATCCGACAAGTCTAATTCCCCTTCGAGATTTTCATCTCTTATATACAATCCTTTTACTTGTTCTCTCTTTTCCTTAGTCGGATATTTTTGGTTGATATATTCTTGAGCATTGACTAGTTTAATAATCTCGGCCTTTTTTGGCAGGTTTTTTATCTCTAGTTTAGTTTCATCTACCTCTAAGGAAATATATACTTTTAGTTGTGTCCATGTTATAGTAAAATCTCCTAAATCCAATTCTCCGGATAAACTGGGCTCATTGAGATAAATTTCATATATTTCACTCCTTTCCTTTTTAGGGCAATTGTTTTTGGGGTAATTCTTATCCAATCATTCTTGAGCATTTACCATATTATATTGTCATTTATTATAAATCTGTGTTATACTACTTTTTTTAATCTGGCCATAATGACTAACTAACTCTTCTCGACCAGATTTGACAGGGTCCGAGCAAGGTAGAAGTAAGCCTGATTGGTATCTTTATCCACAATGAGGTAGTACTTATTGTAGTTTTTGTCTTCTTTAGGTAAAATAGTGAAGCTAGCAATTGACGTGTCAATGTTTAACCGACTGAGAAAGTGTTAGGGACTGCCTTAAACAAAAAAGTATAACGGCTAATTTAGTTCCTGATAAAATGCTTAATTAATTTTTCTCTTTCTTGAGGGCTATTAGCAAAAGCTTTTAACTCTTGATTATCGTGATTAAATACTATATTTCCTTGCACCGTTAAACGATTAATAAACTGACAATGAAATAAGACTAACTTTAGCTTGGTCGGCAATTCCCCTTGCACATAAATTTCATCGCCCCTAATGGCAATTATTTTTTGGGGATCAAAAAGACGATAAAGATTATAAAGTCGCAAAATAGCTAAATGACGAACGGCCACACTTCAAGCCCGATAATTATAACCTCGAAAATTACTTTTTCCCAAGGCCGCTCAAAAGGCATTAACCAACATTTTACCCTCCCGGCTAGTTTCTTCTGCCTGCCTCAATTTTTGACAATAGTCCAAAAAAGGGTCGACGCACCCTCTTTTCTCCTCAAATATTCAGAAGTCAGTATAAATAATTGGTTTGATAATTTTATATTGTTTTTTAAAAGTATGAAACAAGCGAGTATGTAATAATATTCTCCCTTTAATTTCCGGTTTTACTTCATTGTTATAATCCGGAATAAAAGGAATTTGTTGTTTTTTAATCTTAGCCCCATTTTTTAAATAAAAACGGACAAAACCACTTTTACCGGCTTGTAATTGTTTAGAAATTTCATCAGGATCCTTAATATGAGTTGGTTCGCCGTAAGGTAAGGGATATTCTCTCATAATATTGGCGTAAAACTCTCGGTAATCCAAGCGCCAAACCTCTTTCCATGTTCCTTCCTTTAAAGACTCAAAGCGAGGCGGATACTGTCAGCCGGCAATAGCTAAAAAAGTTTTTTTATTATGGGTGGGGTGTTCACTAACAAAATGTGGGCAGAGTTCCCAGCATTTTTTTAAGGCCCGGCTACCCAAGCCTTCTGGATTTTCACTAGTGGCACCCCGAGGCAAAGGTCTAATAATAGTTTTTCCTATCACTATTTCGGCTAAGTTCGCTGGATATCCTTTTTCAATTTTAATTCAGACAAAGTCTTCTGCAGAACATTTAATAGTTAAGGCCAAGTCGGCCAATTCTTCCCATTCTTGAAAATAAATAGGCTGAAAACCGCCATTGTTAGTAATTACTTTTCTTTTTAAATCTAAAATATATTGTATTTTCATGCTGTTTATTTCCGTTTTACTTTACTTTTTTTACCGGCATCAAAACGACCGATATGACAACTCCCCCAATCCCCTCCTTTAATGGGACCTCGAATTTTTTCCCCCTCTCGAGAAAAATGTCACTGTTTATTAGCATCCGGGTGTTCTTGGTTACCACACACCCCACTTTTATAAGTATATAATCAGGGACAATGAATTGGCAAAACTGGCGGATGGTGCGACCCCAAACGAACACAAAATAAGCATCATTCTCGACTAGTACCTTGTGCTTCCGAACAAGAGTATCCTAAAATAGCCTCCACACGGCATAATGATTTATTAATTTGGGAGAAAAATGTCTTCTTTTCTAACTCACTCCCATACTCCTCCATATAACCCTTATGAGCCTCATCATGCAACTCTTCTTTCATCACCTCCTCTAAACTAGGAACATTCTTATAAACAGTCCAACTCTTACCCGGCTTATTACTATCCAACCTTATCACCTGCCCTGCTTTAATTTTAGGCATCCCATACCTATCCAATTCTACTTCTTCTTCCGGAACCTCTTCCCCTCTCGGAGTAGTCCTAATCCACATCTTCTGTCAGGCTTTTAAATAATATTTACGAGTATGAGTAAAAGGATTATTCTTGTAATATTTATTTCAAATATCTTCAAAACCGAAGGATTTAGGGGGTTGATTGGTAGGGATTAGAAATCTATCTCTTAGTCTTCAAGGGCTTTTTAAGTAGAGTTGTTTGGATAGTTCACTAACTCTGGCTCTACCAGAATCCCTAGGTTCCCAAGCCAAAATCTCTTGTCATAATTTTTGGAAATCTTTTTTTTTACTAAAAAACTGTTTATGCTCCCCTTTCTCAGGAAAAAATAATTTAATCTTTTGCCCTCTTTTAAGCAGTTGTTTAGGATGGACTTTAGTTAAACCCGCCTTCTCTTGTCAGTAGCGGATTTGATTAGATTGAGAGGTAAGTTCTTCTTGATAAGCTTGATTGGTTTGTTTTAATAAGTAAGAAGAGCCTTGTTTATTTAATTTATAAACAGTATATTTAGAGCCAAATTCTCTTCAAGGATTATAGTCGGGATGTTTTTTTTGTAATTTTTGGACATACTGGGCTAAGTGAGGGGGTAGGTCTAAGTGGGGCGAGTAATAAGGGGATTGTTTGGGGTCTTGTTTGTTTAATTCTTTTTGGAAGTAAGAGTAGATTTGTTTTAGGCGTTGGGTTTTTTGCTCGCGACTGGCTGCTTTGGCTTGTTGAACCCTGAGAGCGGCTTGTTTTTTTAAGCGGTATTTTTGTTGGTTGGCTAATAATTTGGCACGACCTAATTGTCAGGAGGCGGATCAAGCATTTAATTTTTGCCGGTAGAGGAGGCGGTATTTTTTAACCTCACCTTTTTTTTTGGCTTGCTGAGCCTGCTTGATTAATCTCTCGAGGTCAGCAAAAGAATATTTTTTTATTAGTCGCTGGGAGCCGTGAAATTTCCCTGAGAGTTGAGGTTTAACCTTCTGCTGAACCAAAGAAGTAGCTCTCCCCTTTTGGTTTTGGCTGACTTTATTTACTTTTCTTTTTCTGATGGGCATGGCTTTTTTTAGTACCACCTCACCAGAAAATCATTAAAATAATAGTATGGGGGTGGGGTCGTCAATATCTATGGGTTATTAATGGTATGGAAAATGGAGTTTTCATCTAATATGAGACTCCAACTTCCACCTCCATAATTTAATCACTCTTTCTACTAGTTTCAATGGTAGATCAATTTTGATTATCATTTAAACTGGATTAAGGCTAATTCTTTTTATCATTATTTTGAACCTTAATTCAATTTTTCACTTTGTGAAATTTCTTGGAAGAAAAGTTTGATAATAAGTGATATATTTTTTAACTGATAAATATAGGAGCCAGGAAAAGTAAGCCCATCAGATTTAGTTTACTTCCTGAACGGCTCCTATATATTATATTTTATCTCCTCTCAATTCTCCTCTCAATTCTCCTCTCAATTCTCCTCTCAATTCTCCTCTCAATTCTCCTCTCAATTCTCCTCTCAATTCTCCTCTCAATTATTCAATAGTGAATATCAATAAAAATTACTACTAAAAACTTATTATCAAGTATTATATTAATAATGGAAATTAGTAGTGATAAAAGGACTTTAAAAGTTATTTGCTTGCGTTGCAAAGCCAAGATCAGTGTTAAATATATTGACGGAGAAAGGAATTATAGCCGCAAAAACAACTGGGACTATTGAACTGAGACAGAAGTTAAAAAACACTCGCCCCGCTATATGTGCGATGGTTGTTTAATGGAACTCTTTTTTCGTTATAAAAAAGAATTTAAAGAATTAATTAAAAATCCTAAAAAACGCAATTTATTAGGTGTATACATTAATGAAGGAATAATTGGGGTCAAAAAGCCATTTTTCCTTCTCCCTGAGTAGGATTAGAAACTAAAAGGTATATCTCCTCCTTCTCCTCTTCCGCAACTTAACAAGTGAACTACCACCACTATAGAAGTGGGGCTTCATATGGTTTAACTAATCATGATTAGCCATGTTCCCATTTTACGAAGTTATACCCTCTCGGAGGACAAAGTTCCTAACTCCATTCGTGCTTTATAGAGAATATTATGAGCAGCATTTACATCTCTATCTGCTTCATAACTACAAAGAGAGTTCGCACAAATAAACCATCTTTTTCTTTCTAAATCTTGATTGATTTTTCCACATCTGAAGCATCTTTTGCTGGTATCAGTTGGATCAACTGGATAAGTAATCTTCTTTTTCAATTTTGCTTTATAATTCAGTTTAGCAAAAAAATCACTTATTCTTAACTCCGATAATCCTTTCACAGTATATTTACTAAACTTCCTTTTATTGTCCTTTTTCTCAAATGTTTTACTTAACTTCAAATTTTCATGGGCAATCAAATCAAACTTATCTACTATTTTTCTACTTAATTTATGGTTGCGGTCATTTATCCGACGAACCACTTTTCTAAATGCTTTCATCAGTTTTAATCTGGCTTTTTCAAAATGTTTACTATTTTTAGTCAAATCATCCTCATTCCTTTTATGTTGCTTTCTACTCAATGACTGATACAACTTTTTTAACTTTTCTGCTATCTCGGTAAAGAGTTGAGGGTTTTTATATTTTCAACCCTCCGAAGTAGCAAAAAAATTGATTACTCCAATATCTATTCCTATTTGTCTTTGGATTTCTTGGAAAGTTAATTGTTTAGGCTTTGGCAATTGACAAGTGAAGTTAGCATAATATTTACCATTCTTTCAAGCAATAGTTAAGGTTTTGATTTTGCCTTTTGTTGGTCGGTGATAATTGATTTTGATTGGTAGTTCTCTTTTTGATGGCTCTATTGCTGAACCTTGCTTAATAAGTAATTTGTTATCCTCAATCTTGTAAACTCAAACTCCGCTAACTTTCTCTTGGGGAAAAACCATGTGGCTAAACGAATTACTTTTTTTCTCCCTCGGGTATCTTCACCTTTTGTTTAGTTTCCTCAACTCCTTTCTTTTGGTCAAAAAACCATTTCAAACCAAAGGCAATAAACGATAAGGGATATCGTGGAGAACTTGGGATTGGATTTGGTAAAGGTGAGGATTTTGCTTTTTAATTTTAACTAATTCTTTTTGTTGTTGGTCTAGTAAATTGTTTCATTCTTTTGCTTGCTCTCGGTGAGGAAGTTTACTTATTTTTTTGTCCGCTTGGCGATACTGTTTTAAGAAGTAATTGTAGAGCAAGAGGAGTTCATTTGAGGTTCAATCTAAAATTTCTCTGGCTTTCGAGTTAGGAGATAAACGATATTGAAAGGTTAATTCTAAAAGATTGGGATTTTTAGTTGGTTTTTTCATAGACGCTGGTTGAGTTTAGAACTCAATAAGTCAATCAATCCCAGCGTCTAAACTCTAATTGACTGACTAATTCAGGACTAAACTATATTTATGTTTTATGCAGTTCATCCCCTACCCAACTTGCGAGGAGTTTGAGTATGGGGGCTTCTTGATAGGGTTAGGTTGAAACTCAACTCTATTAACCTTAAGCATTAATTTTTTTCTTTTCTCTTGCGATTTTTTGCAAGAATTACGAACAGAAAAATAAATAATCCTATTACCCCAATTACTATTATCCCTTTTACTGGATCAGGTAAACCTTTATTTTTATTGTCATCTATTACTTTTACTCCATTTTGGAAAACTTCAATATTCCTGCTTAAACAATGACAGCAATAACTTCATTTATAATCATCCTCATGAGTTTTTCTACAATCATGGCATTTAAAAGTATATTTTTTCTTAGGCTTATTTTTGGCTTCATTGTAAATGTCCCATAAATCTTGCTTTTCTTGGGGAGAAATTGGTAAATTATCAATACCTCCATCTTCTCCTTGCTTGGCTTTAATTAGGACTTTAAAAAAATTCTTACTGTGCTGCGAAAGCCGAGAATTGTTGTCAATATCAGTTTCTGATACTGAACTTCCACTTGCTATTCTTTGGTTTATTCAGTTGTGTTCTTTGGCTTGAGGTCAGCAACTATCGCAAAATTTGTAATTAGGTTC